TATTATTATTATTATTATTATTATTATTATTATTATTATTATTATTAACCAATGACCAGCACAGTTAAATATTACACCAAGTTGAGTACAGTTGGTTTAATTAACTGTTACTCCAGCAGGTGACAATATCTAGAAGTCCTTAGCTGATCTCAAAAAAAACCTAAGCAGAGTATGATTAGTAATTGGACGGGAGCCCAATAGGAAATCCCACAGCTATAGGCTAGACTAGAAAGATCAGCTTGAACAAGACTTTCCCCTTTTAGAAGAGACAGTCAGCTCCAGTTGAACATAGAAGGTTTGGAAATGCTAGTTCTTCATCTTTGCACATATTAAGCAATATGTAGACAGGTTCCAATTGAAGGAGGGAAGATTGGAAAGAGTAAAGTGAAGTGTTCTTTACCCATCCTTCAATTGGTAGAAAACTATACCAGCAATGTGGTTCCCATTGCTTGTACTATTTTTGTATCTGTTGCTTCTATTATTGCAGTCATATGATTTCACTGCAGGGTACTAGGTGATAGATTCTAGCATGTTTTATACTTCTTGAGACTACTTTAGGTGGTATCAGAATAAGGAGGGAAATATTACTTTAACACCAAATGCAATATAGTTTTCCCATTCATGTGATGGAAATAAAATGAAGACAATGCCATGAGGACACAGATGAAAAAAGATATTGCTTGGGCATGTTTTTGCCTTGATTCAGTTCAAACAAGGAAAGGACCACATATTCATGTGTTCAGATAGAACCAGCCTTACACCAGCTTGCCATTAGAAATAATGGATTTTTCTCCAGTGCCTTGCAATGCTTCTTTCCCAAACATTTATTTTCCCTTGGGAGAAATGAAAAATGGGCCTGATAGCTAGGATAAATGGGGGAAAAAAAATATCTGACTTGCAGGGAATAGATGCTTGTATTTCATCATGTTTGTTGTACAGGAGTGTTTGGCTACTTAGAATTACATCACTATTGGCTCAATGTTTTGTAAGTAATATTCTGTGTGCAATGGCAATCTGTTCAGGATGAACAGCTGACTGGTCATTTGTTTCTTTTTAGCTTTTGAAATTGTCTGTAATGATTGGGAAAAAGAGAATGATGTTAACCGCATAGAGGATTACTAATGTGTGCGTCAGGCCAGAATGTGCTGTTAGTGTATTGTTGCACTGATGTTTTCTTGCTAAAGCAATTGATCCTTCACCAAAAAATAAAAATTACAAAGGCATATGCTTTATTGGAAAAGTTATCACCTCATACAACATCGACGCTGAACATTTGCTGATGTTCAAAGGATAGTCAACGATCTCTGATAGAAAGCATTTTTTTTCCTCCTGTGTTATTCTGTTCTTCTAATTTGATGGCACAAGGCTGTCCAAATGGAGAATGTTGGAGCAAACAGTTTGGGCAAGTTAGTGAATTTCTGACCGATGCCTTTTTGAGTTTTTCAGACTTAAGTGCTTGTCATTTCCAGCAAATGTAAAACTGTTATTTCCTAGAGCAGCGTTTCTCAATCTTGACAACTTTAAGATGTGTGGGCTAGCTGGGGAATTCTGGAAGTTGAAGTCCACATACCTTAAGGTTACCAAGGTTGAAAAACATTAGCGTAGAGGAATAATGTGTGAGATATGTTGATGGTATTACAATCAGAAAATATGTAGATAGTACCAGTTTAGGAAAAGCTACCTTTAGTAGGTTAGGTAGGAGGTTCAGGAAGGAAAAACAAAATTCAAACCCTTACTAAAGTAACAGTTATGGAATAAATAGAAATGTAAACATGAAACAAAACATACACATGAAAATCAAGTTACCTTAGTTAAAAATCCTTTAAGCTTAGCTTGGCATATGGCAGTCCAATCATCATTCCTTGTAACTCTGCCTTCTGGTACCATTAGGGCTTTATTTGCACAAAAATTAAATTATGAGAAGGGTTCATATAGATAAGAAATAATACCAAGAATAGTAAACTGGGGTTTTGGAATGGAAGCATGAACATGCTTCCCTGAAGTTTACCATCCCGTTTGCAGTTAGTGAATATTTCTCTAGTTTGGAAGTTTACATTAAAGGATTTTCCTCCAGTTTTGGGATATTCTGTTCTCCATGGAGGTTTTTCAACCTGCCTCTTAAAAAGAGAGCTTGTATGTAAGTATGTACATATATGCGTCTGGATGTGGATGAAAGTAACTCAATATATTATCTACAGTAAAATGTTTGTCAGGAAGACATAATGAAAGCCATAGTTTATTCCACATCTAGCAAAGATTCCTGACTTCATGAATCTCATGTAATTGAATGTTTCTTAAAATTTATGATTTAAGTGGAAAGAAAGTTCATTTTTGTTGCTTGAGGCTTGGTGGCTTGTTACATTTCTGCATTGCCATAAGCTGAAGCAATATATCAAGTTGTCCAAAATCTTTGTAAGCTTTGACTAATAGCTACACGGAGGTGAAATGATTGCCGAGACAAGATCTGTCTACCTTAAG